TACACCAGGCATCCTTGGTTTGAGAACATTTCTTCTAAATGTCTTTATTGCCATGAGAACAAAACCCGAAAGAGCTTGTACCTACACACACACACACACACACACACACACACACACACACACGCACACCACTCTCTGCTCTTCTAGTGACACCTCAGGAAAAAAATAATAAGAAACCTGGCACTAGAAAAATTCCCAGGAATCCACAAGGACGACCCCAGAAAAAACCCTAAGCAATGTTGGAAAGGATGCTCAAACTGGCCTTGCCCTGTAGTCAGATTGATGAATATCTTAAATGTTACCATAGAACCTCCATCTAGCAACTGATGGAAACAGAGGCAGAGACCTGCAGCGGAACACTGTACTGAGCTCCCAAAGTCTAGTTGAAGCGAGGGAGGAGTAAGAAAATCAGCAAAGAGGTCAAGACCATTATGGGGACACCCACTGAAATAGCTTATCTGAGCTAGTGGGAACTCACCAACTCTGGCCAGACAGGGAAGAAACCAGCATAGGACTAAACTAGTTCCTCTGAATGTGGGTGACAGTTGCATGACTGGGGCAGACTTCAGGGCCTCTGGCAGTGGCACCAGGGTTCATCTCTAATGTTTGTACTGGCTTTTTGGAACCCATTCTCTTTGGATTGATACCTTGCTCAGTCTAGATATAGTAGGAAGGGCCTTGATTCTTCGTCCTCCCTCAAAGCAATGTGCCTTACCCTCTCTGAGGAGTGGATGGGTCGGGGAGAAGGTGAAGGGAATGTGAGGAGGGAAGGGAGTAGGAACTGGGATTGGTATGTAAAATAAAAAAGATAGTTTGTCTTATTTTTTAAAAAAATAAAAGAAAAAATAAACGCCAACTATAGCATCACCCAACACTACAGGGTTCTAGAGACTGGAAAGCAATCTGCTGTTCTAGATTTACTGGGTTAGGTTGCTTCTCAGGAAAGATAAGAACTTCAGCATCCATGTGTCAACTCTCACTGACTATAAAGCCCAGCCAGCGAAGGGCAAAAATGAGTTCCAGAAAGAAATCAGAAAAAAAAAAAAAACAAATGAAAAAGCGTATAGGCCTATAATGGAATCTCCCAACTGTTTGTTCTCAGATAGTAATTGTGCTAGACTTCTTATTGGCTTCACAATAAGATTGTAGTCTGTGATATAGTGAACACTAGTGCTTGCATGCATATTAACAGATCTCAACAAATGGAATGAGAAGCAGCCAAGATTGCAAAGCCAATATAGGCAGAAAAGGTGATTCTATTCCTCAACCAGGGTTGACTTCCCTTCTTGCTTTTACACATCTTCATTTGGCTTCTTGCTCTGCTAGGTTTCTTCCCGTGCTCTTTCCTGTAGTTTATGGTGATCCTGTTTCTAGAATCACCATAGTAGTGAACACCCGACTGCTTTTAAAGTTCTTAACTTGTTTGAATTGCCTAGACACAATGGCGAACATCTGGTATGATTCTTTCCCTACACACGAAGTTTATTCCTCAGCCCCAAATCTAACCACTCAACTAGACCCTCATTCAGCAGCAATAGCAGTTCTCACCGAACTTTCCAGATGGAAGAATGAATAAAGACGAAGGGCAAAACTAACCTCTGACCTGGATAATATCTGGGTATAATTTTCTTAACTAATAAAGTTCTGAGAATATCTTCTAGAAAAATAACTAAAGTCCTTCATTAGTGATTGACTATTATGAATTGGAACCAACCAACTTTTTTGAGAATGGGTATGAACAG